CTCTCCTAACTCTGCTCTACCTTTTTTTTACTCTTTATGTTCCTCGTTATGTTTTTTTTTCCTTCTCGTAAACAACACTGTGTTAGTAAACAAAACCATGTTTGTGCTCGTGTTTGTGCAATGATGCGTCCGTGTTTGACCGTGCCTAGGGGCCTAGCTATGCCAAGATTAGAGGTAGACAAGCATGGCCACCGAAAAAACGTATCAAGCATGATCCCTCTCATGTACGGCTCTCTATTTGTTTGTTCTTGTGCTGAATATTCATGATACACAGGTCCTCAGTTGGGATACTTATATTTTAGAACAACCCGCATAGAAAAGCACAAAAAAAAAGCAACAAAGCATAGAAAAAAATATTTAGAAATAACCGATCCCAGAATATAATAACTCCTAGGGACAAGTATCTAGAAATAGCATGCAAGAAACTCCGAAAATCATATTAATTCAGAACAGCCCACAGAAAACATGAAAGCATCGAAACTTCCACAAAAGATAATACTGTTCCGAAACATCTTACCGGGGATATGTTATTATTTAGAACCATCCTGCAGGGAAAGATTTCTACAAAACACATTGATTTTTATCCATCTTTAGCCAAAGTCTGAAACTTTTTTTTCTTACAGGAATCAAGTATCTAAGTTTCATTAATACTAAGCAAGTCACTGGAAATCTTCGCGGAAGCTTGCCCCTTTGTTACATAGTGTCCACTCCAGTTGTAATGATTTTAAGTCCGTGGGTGGTTTGCGGGAACTTTGGTGTTGTTTACTACTTCTTTCCGATGAAACGTCTATTGTCCTAATCTCCCCTTCTTCTTATTTATGTTTGTTACTCTCTTGTAACACCTCTAATCTTCTAGCGCTCATATGACCTTATGCATTTGCGAGCGCCGTAAAACCTCTACTAAAACTATACTAAATGATTTTAAGTCTAGGACACGGAGTTACTGCTGCCTCTCACACCCGTATCAGTTTGTTTCATCAAGAAGGTTGACATTGTCCTTGTTTGAAGAGCTGAAACCAGGGGCAGTTACTCTTTATATTATATCCCTTTGCTCAGAAGTGTAAAGTCTTTGTATGTGGGATGTCCACTACAATGGACACATAGCCTGTCACACGTAGCTAGAGTTCATAGTATCTACCACAATGGGCTGATTGAATCCCCCTACCTATAGAGAATTAGTGGTTTTTTAATGGGATTTCCGTCTTTCTCTCTCCCTATCTCTCTCTCTCCCTGTCTCTCTCTCTCTCTCTCTCTCTCTCTCTCTCTCTCTCTCTCTCTCTCTCTCTCTCTCTC